ACGTCCTCCAAACCCACGACCGAATCCTCCTCTCTCCCCTCCTCCTCTCTCCGCCATGATTGTAAGGTATTAGGTTTACAGCTAGGGTTTAGAGAGAGTGTGTGAGAAGATGAAGAAAACGGATTGTTAGGTTTATAAGGGAGCTAGGGTTTCATAAAATGGGCTTGAGGGAAATCAAGTCCATATGGAACTGCAAGTTTGGCCCATAATGCTACAAGCCCATAATAGTTTGCAATTTTTAGCATAAAGTAATCAAATAATTAAAAGAGCAACTTTCACATATAGCAAACATAAAAATCTTATAGCTATAGTTTGCATAATTACGCTTCATTGCAAATTTTATGTTTGCTATGGAACTATTAATCTGTATATTTCAGGATTCATTCGAAGCTATATACAATTTTATTTTCTAAATAAAATTAATAAAAGGCTGTAAATTCTGTTATAAAAAAGGAAGACAATCGCTAAACTCACGCAAAAAGATCTCTTTCCTTCTATGACTTCTTCATCAGTAGTGACTCCATTGTAACTGAGTACACGTTTGCCTAGAAATTTAACACCCTAAAAAATAATACATATACAGTTTTACTCAAATATACATATATACATAACTATGACTTACTGTGTATAAATATGACACAAATACAGTTAGCGAATTGTATAAAATAATATTTAATTCAATTTATCCTATACAAGTTTTATAAATAAGATTATACATTATACAACACATTTCAATTGTATAATCATTTATATTGTATATATAGTGAGATTATTGTACTTTTATTAATGGAGAAAGTTTGTATATTAAACCTAATGGCTAAAAAAATACAGATATGTATAAATAAACATATAAAAAGTACATATAGTCATTCTGTATAACATTAATTTTATCTGAATATAACATAAACATGTTTTATGTGGATATTATATATTATACAAAACATTTCAATTGTATAATTGTTAATATTGTATATATGGTAAAATTGTTATAATAACTATCGCTATTTATACAATAAGTTTGTATAAACAAACAGATATAGGGCAAAAATTTACAGAGACTAATATACAATTGTAACACATACAAATTAATGATTATACAAATACCCGAACTTCTTCATGTTCATCTTGCTCCAATGAGCAAGAAACAATTCTAATATATAATTGCTTTATACAATAAGTCTGTATATTAACCTAATGGCTAATATACAATTGTTTTTTCCTTTCCTCTTCTTACTTGAACTAGCATCGTACTGATCTTTGTCACCTCCTTCAACAATTTCTTCGATTTTGCACTAATTTCACCCATTCTGATTCGGTCATTCTTAAATTTGGATCTGTGTCTTTAATTTCTTTGAATTTGGCTATTGAACCTGCAACCTCTCCTCTGAGTTAGACCCAAGGAAAATGTTCATCCATTGTATAAGTGAAAAATATGTATGGATTATGATTTCATATGAAAGTTAAAGAAATAAGGAAAAAATTGGAAAAAAAGTCGATTTAGAGGTTTTGGTGGTACCTAAATTTTTTGAAATCGCATAGTAGTGAAGATTTGAAATTTAAACTAATTTTGTGGAGAGAATTTAGGAGAAATTGAAGGGTATGGGAGAGTGGAAAGAGATGAAGTGAATTGTATAAAGGAAACGACTTCCGTTTTTTTTAATTTGTGGGACCCGTCAGTAGCAAGAAATGCCAAACTATAGCTACTCAAAGGAAATAAATGAAACAGTAGCTATATTATTTATTTTCAATTAATAGTTTGTCATTATGCACAATTTTTCATAATTAAAAACCAGACATTTTGAGGAATAAGTATCCTTTTTCCTAATTTAACTCGTCTACTAGAGTATCGTTTGATTTGAATACAAATTATGTTGGTATTATTTTTTATTGACGATTTAATTTGTTGTACTAAAAATAATATACATTCTAAAATTAAGTTATTTGTTTGAATAAAATATTCATACTTAAATATAATGACCGTGATAACACCTATATGGCCTAAGTGCACCAGTAATTGCCACAAAATACAGAAGCAATAATTAAGTATGCTTTTTACTAATTTGAGTAGTATTCTAAGAATATAATTGTTTTCCACCCCATTAAAATAGGAAGAATTGTACTCCAATTATATAAATTAATTTTCACAGATATCCTAGAAACCTAACGGCATATTTCACATTGTTTATCCTTAAAATTAGGTATTCAAATTTTTTTGTTCTTATTTTATAATTGAATATCCTTTAAAACATATATCGACATCAAGAATGTGAGTGAATCGGTTAAAAACCCTAAGGTGTCACGATTATAACTCAACAAATATAAAAAGTCATTATATGCCATGGTCCTAAAATGACCTTTTTTTCATGTAATATAATGTACATTTATTGACATATATTTGGTTTACAATCTTTGAGTCGGAACTAAGGCTTCTTAGTTTCCGAGCAACTCTTATCATATTTGGTTCATTTGAAATGATATACTAATTAGTTTGTGAATTTGCTTGTTACTTTGATGAGATACAATTACAGTTTGAATCTCTAAACTATCCATAAGGGTTGAGTTTCTGAGACTTAATATTTCAGTGAACGAGGCCCGAGTTTTTCCTGAGTCTTGAAGGTCCATAGTTGTGGGAAGGGGGAAAGTTCATTGGGGCCATGCTTTGTGTCATCGTAGGGACAAACACTGCTGGACATGCAAGGGTTGCCAAGAAAAGAGGAGTGGATTGGCATTGATCAACTCCAGAGGAGTGAAGAATGGAGTTTGCACTAACTTGTGCATGTTTGGATATGGAGCTAGGTGATGTCGTAGGTTCCACAGTGTTTGAATGGTTTGAAGAAAACTTGGAACAAGATTGGGGGCTAGTGGGTCTAGCACATTTGTCATCCACATTTGGTTGACAAAGTTCTCTGTTGCTATTGACAAAATATGGATTCAACTGAACTCAGTAATTTTGATTGAAATTCTATATTTGTCTTAAGAAATTCATTTGATATATATTAATTATCAATTTCGATCAATTCAACAATTTAAAAGGATGAAAATCCTAATTTTATGAACTTTAAAAATTGACTCCGCCCCCACTAGTAATTAAAACCTCACCAATGAGTGCCCTCAGAAGGCTGCAAATAAATGTGTAAGCATAGGCCATATATAGATCCCCCATGGTTGAGTTGTTTTGAGAAAATAAAGTAAAATTACTAGATATTATTGATCCTTAAGGAGATCCACTTATATATAGACTAGTTTTTGGGTATGCGTGTCGCGCGTGTAGTCAAGTGTACCATTACTATAAACTTATAGCATTTGACAATCATGCTCCACATAAGTCCTTAGACATCTTATTATAATGTTTGACTTGTAAATGTTAAGTATTTATAGGATTTATGTTGCACTAAAAAGTATAAATGATGGTGGATATAGGAAGAATATTTACCAGTTAGTGTTACACATATAATTGTTAGAGTAAGAGTGTTTGTTTGAAAATTAAAATAGTTATCTAATTTTATATGGATCATTGATAATGAACTTTATACTTTTAGATCTCTTTATTATTAATTAAAGAGGCAATATATTGATTCATGAGATAATGAACTGATTAAAAATGCATGTATAGTCATTTAACATATTTGCTAAATATTTCATATTATCCATGTAAAACACAAATGATATGCATATAATGAAATATCTAATCTTTCATTAAGATAATTTTTAATTTCATTTGGAAATAAGAACTATAATATTGTACATGTTCCATGCCAATAATTATATAAAGTCTAAATAAATAATATCTATTTAATTGTAATCTAGACACAAATTTCTTTATATAAGCAGAGAACATATTTAACTAAAAAGGAAAAGAAAATAATACATTATAAAAGAACATTTAAAACTAAAACAAAAATCACTTACAAATGGTCATATCACTATAAGCACTTTACATTTTTTTTTAAAAGTACAAATAATTCATTATTTTGTTGTAATTCATACAACATGATAAAAAAAAAAGAATTATTTTCTTCCAAACATTCTTAACAATTAATCACTCAATCAATTATAACGTCTTCGATCCAAATACTAAAATAATGTTATTGCCCTTAACAATTCTACAAAAATTGATAACAACTTTTCTTCTGCGGTCTATGACTATGACCAAAAATTAAATCAAAAAAGAAGAAAGAGATGGTATACCAAAGATGAGAAAATGACTCTTAATTTATAAGAGAGAATTGACATTAACATACTTTAGTAAGAAGATCAGATATGAGATTTGCAATTCATTTCCCTTTCTAGGTGACTTTAAATAGGAAAACCTTATGTGAGGGGAGATGAAAAGAAAAAAAAAAAATGTCCATCAGTTTCCTACTTAATTAGGAGTCTTTTTGTCTTCTTAATAATAATAATAATTACTTATAAGTTATAACCATACAACATGACTAAATTGTAACCGAAAAAAATTGATAAATTTGATGTTGGCTTAATGTGTAACTCTCCCTTGTAGTAATTAAATTTACTATTTAATTAACAATTTATTAGATGCTTCATAGTATTTGTATTTGATATAGGAACAAAATGGTAATCTAACTTTTACCTAACATTCTTCCCACTTTTAGTATAACTAGTGAGATAAGCCCGGGCGATGCCCGGGCCCAACATGAGCAAAGTATTATCGTAAATTTGTAAAAGGAGATACAATATGTTATTCTTAGGTTGATTCGTAGATGGGGTTGGGTGCATTTTCTTCACTAATTACGTTTAGTTGAAGTACAATGAAATGTTGTGTAATCGTCTTCATCACAGCTATGGCATGTTCTCAGAGTGTTATCCACAGAGTTAAAGTACCTGAAATCAAAAGATGAAGCAAAAAATAGTTTGGTTTGGAAGGCATAAGGTGTACTACAATGTGCATATATGATGATATATTTTGGGTAAATTTTTGTTATAGTTAACTCCAAGTGAGGTAGAAGTGAACGGACTGTTATAATGGTATAAGTTTAGTCGTATTTCTCTTATTCTCTACATTACCTGCACGTCGAAGGAATGATGCTTTGTCTACTCTCAAGCATTCCAAGATTTTCGATGCCCACCTAGAAGGGTCGATTCAAGCAGCGCTGAAGTAACTCCAGCCTCAGTCCTTGCTCGTCTATCTCCATATGACATGAATCGAGTTTCTGAGACCAATTTTCCTTGGTTGACAATTTCTGCCAGCTGATAGAGGATGAAGTCAATCACGCGATGAATAAATTTCATTAGGTAATACCATAGAACTCGAAATGCACATAATAAGAATAACTATGTTTCAATCCCAAACTCAAGTTGGGGTCAGTCATATGAATCCCGACTTAGCATATAGCTCCATTTTAGAATATTTCAGGCTAATATTATACAAAAATTAGAACATTAATAAAAATTTGAAGAATGTGTCTATATTTTGTACTGGTATATATCTGGACTTCGGACAACAATATAGCCTACAAGACTAACTTATAACTTCCATATTGAATGCCATGTTTGTTTAGTTGATCCAGTAAAAATGTAGAATCTTGAAGGAGAAATCTTCACTGATTTTAAAATCTGATATCTCGAAACAAAACCATGGTAACAGACCCAGCACGCATTTGAGATGAGGAAGAAGGTTAACGAAGTAAAGAAAAATAAAAACGATCGTGATCCAACTTCATGTTCTTACAGAATTTAGAAAAACATTGCTACATGTCATATCGAAAAGGATCAATAGCATCAGTTTGTGGCAATTGGGGAAGAATTTTGATTTCTGAAAAAGTTATCAAATCCAAACACCATTGAAACAGAGAGCGTGAATTGCATATGTTTTAATAAACGAAGAATTACTAAAAATTGATCAGATAACCCAATACGTATAATTTTGCTTAAGGAGTTTCCAGTGCTTTGAAGCAAGATGTTGCGACGGCAACCTGCTTCGCAAGCAACTTTTTACATCAGTAATTCATTCCAACTGGAGATCTGAACTATTTTTGGCATTGTTTCAATTCGAGATGTGAACTATTTTTGCCGTTGCACTCATAATATTGACCACACTACATCCAACAGAATAATAAACTACAGGAATTCATGCTCCTACATAATTTTTCAAGCACTTAAATCACAATAGGTAGGATTGTAAATAAATGTCAAGCATATTTATTGATTGTTAAATTGCCAAAAATACAAAAAGTTAATTACCTCATTTTCGTAAGAAAGATTGAAAGTCTTCATCATGTACTTTTGGATGAACAAACTGGGAACTTGTTTGTCCTTTGATTTTAAAATTTCAATTTTCAACAGAGGATGTGCGATGGTAAGTAGTGATTGGTCTGATCACATCTTGATTGAATTGCAGAAGGTGGAAGCCAGAGATGTTAAGATCTCACAATATTTATTTCAATATGGAGTTTTGCATCCATCCAAACCAAGCCAAGAAAGAAGGTGCGGCAGCAAGCTTATTAATACATATGTAATCGATAGTAATATAACAAAACAGAGAGATGCTTTCTTTAATTCCAAATTTACTTTTTTTTAAATAGTCTAAGAGAAAACTGAATTAGCAAATGCCTGCCACAATTCATTTACCTGAAACCATAACTAATACACGGAGCAACAACTGTCAGAAGAAGAGAAGAAACGGAAAGATAAAATATCCATTGTGCCGCCTGTTTATAGCAAGAAAATCAAACGTCACCAGTGGAATCCATAAAGTCACTCATGTCTAGCAATTAAACAAATTCCTAATGAATTCGACCAAAACATAAACAATCTTTTTATTTTATTTTTTTAAAAAAGGAAGAGCAGTAACAAAGTACATCAAGAAAAACAGAATTGGATTTAACAGGTTACAACAGACTTCAAACTCGAGTCAAAACAAAGAGACCAGAGAAGATTAACGTCCACTCCTCTTGCCCGAATCCCAATCGAACCTAAGTTTATCCAAACCTCAACTATCCTATACAAAACGTCAAAGTTAAACTGTTGCATTGATATATAACTTAACACTTGTAAATCTCAATCATAAAAGGGAACCAAGCTACTGTCACAACCCGACTAAAGATAAGATGAGGATAATCCTAAATAAAGCCACATTAAGTCTCCAAATCACATGAAAGAACTTCCATCAGACATTAATCAAAAGAAAAGTAAACTAAACAACTAATCTAAGGCAAATTCCTAACAAATTGTTTTGTCCATGACTGATGGATATGAACTTTATACCTATGATTATCACGAATTGAATTATAATCAAATCGAAGCACAAAATGAAAAAAATCATACAAAATAATCTTATATATTTACGCAACAAAAAACCTCTGTCCATACACGATTACAAATTTAGAATTCTGATAACATGAAATGACAACAAAACAGTAATTAAATTAGTGTTTTACGTGCATCATCTTTTCAATCTTACGGCTGAACGATTACAAGGTTAGTTTAGCAAATTGGTTAGACAATCATACAAAACAAAATTCAAAATCGAAGATTAGTCCACTGTCAGGCTTGTTTAGTATTCTCACCTTATCCGTAATACACTAACAGAATCTTCACAGGAAATTACCTGTCAGTAATTTGAATTTAAAAAGAGATTAGCGTAATCTTAAAACAAAATTTCTCTAGCCAGCATGACAGTAACATCAGTAAATACACAAAACAACATAACAAAGCAAAAATCCTAACGACGAAACCTCAACCATCTTATACAAAAGATAAAATTAAAGGGTTGCACTGATAACTCAACATTGTGAACCTTAATTATATAAAGGAATCAGGGTAAAAAAATGACCAGCTAAAGACGTAAGATAAAATGAGGGCTATCCTAAAGTAAAAGACACATAAAAGCTACTAAACATCTAATCTAAAGGCAAATTGGCTGATAAGTAAACCAAACAACTAATGTAAAGGCAAATTACCTACTTATGAGCAAATGAGAAAAGTATACATAATGAACTTATATGTTTAGTCAGTTAAAAGCCTCGGTTGATACCTTTACATTAGTTGTTCAGTTGATCTAGAATAAAAAAGTAGAATCTTGAAGGAGAAATCTTCACCGATCTTAAAATCTGATATCTCAAAACAAAAGAATGGTGACAAATTCAACAGTCATTTGAGATGAGAAAGAAGCTCAACGAAGTAATGAAAAATAGAAACGATTGTGGTCCAACTTCATGTTCTTACAGAATTTAGCAAAAACATTATACATATCATAAAACTCTGTTCAGAGTTAGAGGAGCAACAACTATTGTAAGGGTTTAACACTTATTGCAATTTTTAACGTGAAATGACCAAAATGCCCGTTGGTCGGCAAGCTGGCAAGACAACTAAGAGGTGCTTGTCAAGCCGCTTATATATATACTAAAATGAAAATTAAAAGATTCAAACTTGGACAAATTGCTTACAAATTTCATGTGATCACAACTGTCAAAGTATGTTAATGAGATTGTGTGCAAATAGTTCATGAAAATTAACCATTAAAGCTATTATCACGTCAACAGCTTGGAAGCTATACAGAAACTACATAACATATCCAAAGATGAGGAGTCTCTATAGTGATGGAAACACAAACAAAATAGTGCAAAAATTATTTACTATTAACGGTATATAAATTTTAACTCAAAATATAAAGGTACATGGTGTAACCTTGTACTAATCATCTAGATGAATCAATACAATTGATGATGGCAGCATACCAACATCTTAACTGCCATTCTACACATTAATTAAGTCCAACATCAAATCTTGTATCCAACTTCCATAAATAACGATTATATGTCCTGTTCTCTTTCGACTTTTCTCCTTCACCTAGAAAAAAAAAAGAGACATATGACCCATAAATAACAATCATATGTTTGTTTAGATTAGGATTATGAGATAGAATAAAAATTAGGAAGCAAGGACATTAAACTTTAAACAAAACATGGAACATGCCTTTTACAGCAGCTGCCCCTCCCCTTAATTTTATCTCAAACTGTGATCATTTAATACACCAGTCAAAATAAAAAAGTAAAACAAACATCAGTAATTGATAGGTATATTATCAAACACCCTTGGTGCACTAATGATACTGAAAATTTATTAGTAAAGATGAATGAGTAAAATAGAAGAATATATGTAAAATACAATAGAGATCAACAACCTGAAAGAACCATTTCAAAAAGGTTGATCCTGAATTAATTAAAAGGGCACACTATGTTACTTCACCTTACGTTACAATCCTTTTTTCTCTTCCTCTAGCCTCTTCTTTTAATATCAACACTCTGTTTTTTACTGTGTAAGAAAGTAAAAGCAAGGATTGAAAGTATGATAAAATTTAGAGTATTTAAACTTGGAAGGCATTAGTAAGAGCTTAGACATTAACAATTCTTTAATAAAAAATATTGAGGTGGCTTATATATTGCAAATTATCCCTAAAATTCATAGGAAAGTTTCGTGAGGCCCTCGACATTTTAAGTATTTCTCAAGTTGTAACTTCTGAAAAGAAAAAGGAATTTTGTTGTACGAAGTCTTATTCTCACACCTTTTTTCTCTTATTTCAGTTACGTCATCGTTATTGAGTTCACTAACTATTGTTCTTGAACCAGTAAGGTTCAGTTGCCTGAGAGATGAATAAGACTTTATTCAGCAGCAAGTTTCAAAGGATCTAAATATTGCTAATCTCTCTTTTCCAACCTCCAAACACTCTTCTTGAACAATTTAAAGGCTGAAATTAGTTCTAACAGACAAAAAGATAACAACAAAAACATAAATTTCCAATCAAGACTAAATCTTTTTAGAATTTTAGACACCAAAACAATTTGTAAAAATGAAATTTTCTTGCCAATCTCTCTTGTTCAACCTCTAAACACTCTAAAGCAAGGAGACAATAGCATTTACTACAAAATTCAAATGGCTGGATAGACAAATAAGTTTACTAAAGCTACTTGTTGTGTTCCTATACCAGATGTCATAGCAATCAATATGAATCTATTTGGTTGTCTTTATATGTAGTTTGAGGTCAATATAATTATAACGTGATATTAAGAATATTATATAGATATTTAAAAAATAGGATTGTCTAAAATAAAGGTCAGGAATCGTCGTTATGCAACCTTTTTTTAATTTGGTAGTGTACACTGACCTTTTACACCTTTTTTGTTAATGTGGATGGTTCAAATTTCAGCTTCTCATGTGAGAAACCAGATGCAGTAGTTGTTTCCTGCTTCTCACCTCACTGATTCCTAGAGGCTTGATCTTTTTGGAATCCCTCTCAGTAGTGCTGGGCGTAAGAGTCTGTTCCTTTTGAACGTAGGAAAGAACTGACAAAGTTGTATGTGTGGTATTTGAGCTGCCCAAAGATGACTTCCTTAGCTGAATTTGAAATAGTTTATTCGACAACATCTTATGGACATTGTTAACATGCAACAATTGCTTCTGAAAAGGTCATTTAGAGAATTTGTAGAAATAAGCACATATGCCAAACTATTTCTGATCAAGACAGATGGTGTTGCAACAATAGACGTGTAGAAGTAGCTAGCAGAAAAAACATGCAAAGTATTAATGATATATGTAAATAAAAGGTCACCTTAATGCAAGTTATGTCAAATATGTTTTCTGCAGTCACGGAGAATAATTTTTCTCCCAATACACCAGAAATGGATGTTGTGGCCGAAGCAATGCCATCAATAAGATCAATTTCAAAGATGCGCCTGAAACCATGGAAAGTTTAATATTTGTGTATAATATATGCTATATTTTTCACGAAGTACAATTTACAAGAGAAAAAGATAGTATTGAGGCACTAACGTTGTCTTCCGATTACATTTTGGGTATTCAAAATCCTTTTTATCCTTTGTGCACTTCTTGTGTTTGCAGCATGAGCATTCACGCACACAAAACTCTTGCAGCTCATTTGATATTGACATTCCTTTCCTCAACATAGAAGAGTTCCATCTGTCGGAAAAATAAAAATCACATATATAATACATACATATTGTATACATCAGTAATCACATACACAAAATGTCTCAAATTACTCTTGAATAAATTTAAGTTATTTCTTTGGTTTAGCCAAAGCTAGACAACCCGAGTCATGCACAAAATTATGGGTCACTCAAATACCCCCCAAAAAATGAAACTCACAAGTAGAATAAGATAATCGAAAATATATTTAAAAATATAAAGATATCATTAAGTCAAAATCAATAGAACTTGAAGTTAAAACTCATACGTCTTTCATAAGTAAATTCAAAAAACCTAATTCAAGCAGCAAGACCTTGTTAAGTAAAATTAATCTATACACCAAAAATTAATAAGCATACTCTCAAATGATCAGCTCAAAGTATGTCTTAGAGAAGCTGGTGATAAAATTTCTGCCATAGGGATAACTTGTTGCCCTACAGCTATCACCACCATGAGAGGGGCAGATGAGTTGGTTGAGGTTTTTGCTGACGCGGGACTTAAAGACATCATTTTGTTTCCTTTTACCCTATTGTTACACAAAATAATGTATTCGGTAGGTTCTTTAAATACAAATTAAAGCTAGAGAATAATGATGTAATGTCAGTAATGACGAAAGAGGAGCTCATGCACAGAGTAATTTCAAGCCATTTAGAGAGAACGGATAAAAGTAAGCCTGGTTGACAATTTTCAGAAGCCTGTACTCCTTCTGAGATTCATTGGAGCTTCTTTCTGAATCTTGATGTTTCATTAATGCAGGTGAAGTTGAACAACTCCTATTACTGCTAGAATTGGCTCTCGAATGGATTTATGAGAAACTAACACCTAATGGAACTTTTCTCTTACTGTAAGCTACCATTCTGAAATTCCAATCATTTGTTTGCTTTGTCCTTAGCAATGATGAGTTTAGGAGATCTATGTTGCCGGTTTCTTGATCATTTTTCTTCGTTAGAACAGGTTAGAGCTTCACATTGGTCGGGAAATTGAGTGATAGTCTCTTTGGATAATTCCCATTGTGAGCTAGCGTTTAAGGTTGGGTTAGGCCCCAGAGTCATATTTTCAGGTGATATTAGAGCCAAGGTTCATCCTTTTTTCAGACTCATATTATGGGTTAGGCCCAGAATCATATTTTCACGTGATATTAGAGCGAAGGTTCATCCTAATTTCAGACTCATATTATATTGTTGAATTGAACTTAATCTACAATGACAACCTTGTGTAATAAATAGCTTGTATAATGTTATGTTATTTTCCAAATTACATTGATAAAAAGTTTAATGCGTTCGTACCTTGATAAGTAGATATTCCTATACTCCTTTCAAGGATTACAATAAGATCTGCATCTTTTTCCATTCGAGCCTCAATTTCATTTCCTTCTATTTCTCCAAAATCCTCCCATTGACAATGACCAAGCAATAACTGTAAAAGAATATTACTTAAACCACCACAGTGTGTATGTGTTATGATGATCCAATCTATAAAGTTCATCGTAGTACTCTAAAAAGAAACATATGAACTCGAAATTTAAATCTCACAGCTTAGCAATTTATATTAAGAAAAGAAAAAAGGACAAAAACAATAACTAACAGTTGAAATCCCTTTTTTTCTTTTCCTCTTTTGGATCTAATTGTTCGAAATCCTTAGAGATGCAATTTTTATCACAGCAAACCACTAAAGTCCAATAAAAACTACTTTCAGAAATATATTTATCACTATTTATCTACAAAAACTCCAAAAAGGTACAAAGCTTTCTCTAATTGTGGCTACTTACTTTGATTCAGGTTTCAGAACTAAAAGAGCAAGAAAATAAAATTCAAACACAGAAGAAAAATCAAAACTTGAAGGACAAAACAAACGGGCAATCTAGTTATAAAATCAACTTTCAGTAATATATTTATCATCATTTACTACAGAAACTCGAAAAAAGCACAAGGCTTTCCCTAATTGTGGCAATTTACTTCCATTCAGGTTTCAGCATAACTAAAAGAACAATAAAACAAAACTCAAAAAGAGAAGAAAGTCCGAAATTGAAGCACAAAACAAACCCCACAATCTAGTATTTCCATA